CTTGTATAGCAAGAGTCAAATTGTGCAATGCAATGGCATTCTCACATATGAACCAAAGTTCTACTACTCTCTGAAAATGACAGTCAAAGAATCAAAAATGTTTAAAAATATCTCCAGAGTTCTCTTGAAGTAACATGGTCAGGGAATGTGCCATTAGCTCAGCCTAATCATAGACCATGTATCAAGGGACACGTGTGTATAGGTTAACAAACACAAATATCAAACTATATATCCCCTTGTTATAGATCATACATAACAAAATGGCCATCTGCAAGAAATTCACAATTTATCCATTTACAGTCTTCAGTTTATAGAAAGCCACCTTAAGATTTGATATACTTTTTTATCACGGAATGATACATACTACTTGGGTGTCCCATCAGCATTATGAGAAAGTATCACACTATGATTACCTCGTTAGTTTTTGTAAACTATGCCTATATTACACAACTTGGTAAACATTTTTTCATTGGAGCCTTACGCAGACAACATGATGGCAGCATGGGACACAATGACTGGAGAGAAACAGAGAACCTACAGACCATTGATGATAGTAGCATTCAAGTCAATTATAGTCTTATACTAGTACATATAAAATTATAAGAACAAAACTTGTACAATTGAATAAATTATTGAATGTTGAGATTATTGTTTATATTCAACTTGCTCTTCTTCAACAAGACTCTATGTGGAACTATCACAAGGGTTGAAACTATCCCTGGTACAGTGTATGTCAACTATTTGTACAACACACGTGTATTCACTCCACATCCACAAGGTGGGCTTTGTGGTATGTCCACCTCACTAGCTGTTCACGTGGAGACAGACTTGACCTTTCCTGTGAGGCTTGATCAGGAGCAGATGTGTCCTGAATGACTGTCAACAAACAATGCCTCACACAACCCTCCCCTCCTCTCCCCCTATCCAGGAGAACCCCACCCTGAAGGAACCCCACCCAGAAGGAAGCCCACCCAAAAGGGACCCCACCCAGGAGTCACCCCCCTTTGAAGGAACCCCACCCTGGTAGACAGGGAGGTGTGTGATGCAGGTCCATCCATTGAATGATTCCAGCTGAATGATTCCACAGAATATAGACCTGCAGTAGAAGCCAAATACATACACCACATCATCGCAGGACAGCGAGGACCTGACTGGGGTCATGGCTTCATGAAGAATGACACATCTCTGCTGCCAACGGCTTTCACATCCTTTGTCAAAGACTCTCTCCATACAAACGACCATGTCTCCATATAACAAACTAAGATAATGACACTTGTATGATTATAAGAGATAACAAAGTAGAGTATTGATCAAGACATATTACTGCAAAGACTGACAATCTGATCCATGAAGTCCAGCTTAGACCAGAAATATATCGATACTGTCCACAATCAATACATTCTCTTCCCACAGAGGTTACTCCTGTCATATCTTCCTACGTAACCTCTGTTCTAATACGGCCCTTTCATGGTGTGAGCGTTCAGGACTCGTGATTGGAGGCAATCAGATTTAGTTGTGCAATCAGCAACGTTGTTTCAAAAGTGATCATTCGCAAGGCCTCGGTAATTTCCGTATGCTTCGAGAAAACTAAACTTCTTCCCCTGCGCGATGCGTAAACGTTTCTTCTAGACAGTACTCAGTCATGTTATGGCGGATCAGTGGCGTCTCCATCGCCCTCGTTGACAACGGACAAGCTAGCCATTAAACGTCTTGTGTGTAACATCAACACAAGTCCCCGGCAGATGGGGGGATATTTGTGGCCCCACATTTGCTTGTGTTAGTCAAGTTGAATCTAAGTCGATGTAACACGTGTTCTGATTGGATAGAAAGAAGGGAGATAATTCGTGTTGTGATCTTTTGCCGCTAGGGGATTTTACGAGAACCGGGAAATATGGCCGTATTAGAACAGAGGTTACGTAGGAAGATATGACAGGAGTATCCTCTGTGGGAAGAGAATGCAATCAATATGGATCACCAGAAGACCCAATGGTCAAAATATTGCATCTTATCCATATATGGTCACTCAGCATCCACAAGTTCTACGGCAATTTAAAAATAATCTTTCAAAACAAGAATCGTCAGTGGTATTGTAAAGCTGTCAGCTTGAATGTTTTTCATCCGCCAACAGATTTACACTATACCAATGCAATCATATGAGCAGACAGGTAACAGAGACGAGGTAACACTTGTAGGTGGAGGTTTGACTGATGAGTCACAGTGTGGTGGTCCATGTAAATCTCCGATCACACCGGAGGTGGAGATAACCTGCACATCATCGTGCCAACACCAGGTACAGAACCAGATTGAAATCAGGTGACAGTGAAACAGCCCTGCAGACAAATGTCTTGTACAATGTGGACAAATGATGACAGAGCACCTCCACAATATGTCCTCCTCCAGGCTGGTGTCAGTCAGGCGTGATGGTAATAAAACAGCCATCACTACCTTCAATAAGATTCAGCCAACCAGTTACACAGGAACCAATGATAACCGCATCACATGATCATAGGTCTTAAAGACATAATTGATCACTTATTTGCTGGAATATGCCATGCGTACCATTATGTCATTGTATCCCATGGAAAAAGCATATATATAATTATGTATGAGCTTCAGCCTGGAAATGTTTGCATGTCTTTTTTATCAGTCTGGTTACTAAACTTTGGCCTAAACGTCTTCTCCACAAAGCTGTATGGATCTGTGTGTGTGATACCCCAGCTTAGGAGATCCAGGCCTGACACACCAATAAATGGTTTTGGCTACTCACACTATCGACATGATTAAGTCTGGCTCTGACACATATTACCTTGGTCCAAACAAACCCCTCATAACTTGTGAGGCATTATCTGCTAAAGCAGGGCATACTGATACTGTGTGGCCAGGTCTCAAGCAACTTCTATGGGCCTGTTTTACACCAGTCTTAATACCTGAATAAATACAGGAACGAGGCATTGCTTAGTTTGGACATATTGTTCACACTACTTCTGTTGGATACACACAGTCCTGTCACATACTGCTGTCAGGCTACTTGTGTCAAGCAGTTGTGTCCTGCTACTTGTGTCAAGCAGTTGTGTCCGGCTACTTGTGTCAAGCACTTGTGTCCGGCTACTTGTGTCAAGCAGTTGTGTCCTGCTACATGTGACAAGCAGTTGTGTCCTGCTACTTGTGTCAAGCAGTGTTGTCTTTTTACTTGTGTCAAGCAGTTGTGTCCTGCTACTTGTGTCAATCAGTTGAGTCCTACTAGGTGTGTCATGCAGTGTTGTCTGATAACTTGTGTCAAGCAGTTGTGTCCTGCTACTTGTGTCAAGCAGTTGTGTCCTGCTATGTGCGTCATGCAGTTCTGTCTTACTACTTGTGTCAAGCAGTGTTGCCTTATTACTTGTGTCAAGCAGTTGTGTCCTGCTACCTGTGTCAAGCAGTTGTGTCCTGCTATGTGTGTCATGCAGTGTTGCCTTATTACTTGTGTCCTGCAGTTGTGTCCTGCTATGTGTGTCAAGCAGTTGTGTCCTGCTATGTGCGTCATGCAGTTGTGTCCTGCTACATGTGTCAAGCAGTATTGCCTTATTACTTGTATCAAGCAGTTGTGTCCTGCTACATGTGTCAAGCAGTTGTGTCCTGCTATGTGTGTCAAGCAGTTGTGTCCTGCTACATGTGTCAAGCAGTATTGCCTTATTACTTGTGTCAAGCAGTTGTGTCCTGCTACTTGTGTCAAGCAGTTGTGCCCTGCTACTTGTGTCAAGCAGTTGTGTCCTGCTACATGTGTCAAGCAGTCTTGCCTTATTACTTGTGTCAAGCAGTTGTGTCCTGCTACTTGTGTCAAGCAGTTGTGTCCTGCTACTTGTGTCAAGCAGTTGTGTCCTGCTACATGTGTCAAGCAGTCTTGCCTTATTACTTGTGTCAAGCAGTTGTGTCCTGCTACGTGTGTCAAGCAGTTGTGTCCTGCTACGTGTGTCAAGCAGTTGTGTCCTGCTACATGTGTCAAGCAGTTGTGTCCTGCTACTTGTGTCAAGCAGTTGTGTCCTGCTACATGTGTCAAGCAGTCTTGCCTTATTACTTGTGTCAAGCAGTTGTGTCCTGCTATGTGTGTCAAGCAGTTGTGTCCTGCTACATGTGTCAAGCAGTTGTGTCCTGCTATGTGTGTCAAGCAGTTGTGTCCTGCTACATGTGTCAAGCAGTTGTGTCCTGCTACTTGTGTCAAGCAGTTGTGTCCTGCTACATGTGTCAAGCAGTTGTGTCCTGCTATGTGTGTCAAGCAGTCTTGTCTTGTGTCAAACAGTTGTGTCCTGCTATGTGTGTCAAGCAGTTGTGTCCTGCTATGTGTGTCAAGCAGACTTATTACTTGTGTCAAGCAGTTGTGTCCTGCTACTTGTGTCAAGCAGTTGTGTCCTGCTATGTGTGTCATGCAGTCTTGTCTTATTACTTGTGTCAAGCAGTTGTGTCCTGCTACGTGTGTCAAGCAGTTGGGTCCTGCTATGTGTGTCATGCAGTGTTGCCTTATTACTTGTGTCAAGCAGTTTTGTCCTGCTACGTGTGTCATGCAGTTGTGTCAAGCAGTTGTGTCCTGCTATGTGTGTCAAGCAGTTGTGTCTTGCTACTTGTGTCAGGCAGTGTTGTCTTTTTACTTGTGTCATGCAGTTGTGTCCTGCTACGTGTGTCATGCAGTTGTGTCCTGCTACTTGTGTCAAGCAGTTGTGTCCTGCTACATGTGTCATGCAGTTGTGTCCTGCTACTTGTGTCAAGCAGTTGTGTCCTGCTACTTGTGTCATGCAGTTTTGTCCTGCTACATGTGTCAAGCAGTTGTGTCCTGCTACATGCGTCAAGCAGTTGTGTCCTGCTACATGTGTCAAGCAGTTGTGTCCTGCCACATATGTCAGGCAGTGTTGTCCTGCTACGTGTGTGCTAAGTAGGTTCGTGATTTGTTGTTGAGATGTATGATCATGTTTGCCATTCAGTGTTAGCAGGGTGATTCTACAGAGAACAATTAGTCTCAAAGATGTTACCTTCCTCAACTAGGCCAATGTCTTCTCTGCTTTCACGAAGCTCTCTTATCCTGGTTCTAATTTTTCGTCTCTCCACAAATTCGGAGGATCTCAGCAACTGAAAATAAAGACATGTCACCATGGAAACCTTCAAGAGACATTTTTACAGTATATCTCCTACATGCTGCACACACACCACAACACACGCCAGTGTAACATAACCATGAATTTAGGGGGATAGCTACAGAAACATGTATTACTTATACATATGTTGAAACACTCCTGGAGACTCTGCTCTATTTTACAACCAAGAAGACTTATGAATATTGGCACAGTCTCTTTCTTCCTGGACATCAGTGAACATTGTTATGTGCAGATCTCTATGAGCCTATTGTCACAAGGAGTTTCCTTGACTGATGCTGAATATGACTTGGAAGACATTAATCCTGGTAAACAATCACTTTCAATGTAACGCCTGATGTTTCAGGATTGAGTAACAAGAAATTCTTACATAGATCTGATGGAAAAGATGTCATGTCATCACATACAACTTCAAAATGTATGTAAAAAATCAATAAATGATTAGATGTATCTTTCATTAGCTTACCAGGAACTGCAGGTAATCCTCAGATTTGCAGTTGTCTATAACCGAGTCATGGATCCCCAGACCACTTGCAGGGGGCTCCTCCTTCATGCTGTTATCTGCCCTTTGTAGTGAGGTGTAGGAGGCACTCCGCCACCGAGGGACATCGGCGTCACTGGTTCTGGTGAGGTTCTCCGAACTGAGAGACACTGACCTGGTACTGGTATCAGCACTGCTTACATACCTCTCCTGGAGAGAGGTTGCTGACTCCTCTGCCGTTGATGTGAGGTTGGTGACAGAGGTAGAAACAACGTTCCTGAATTCAACACTGCTTGAAGTCTGTGGATGGGTTGGACGGACATTTAAAACATTCTTTCTCAAAGCCATAGAGTTTATTGACTCGCGGATATTGACAAGACTTCTGCTGACATTACTATGCTTGTCATGCCCTGCTTTGATGATTGGGTGACGCAACTCCACCCTTGGGTTGTGACTAGATACATGGCCGGTGGACGGACTGACTACACTGCTTGGGCACACATTGCTGTGAGATGAAGAGAGACGGGTGCTCCTGAGTTGAGATACACTGTCATTATCTGGAGACACAACATTGGATCGGGACTCACTGGTGCCATTAGAGGGAGATGAATGATAACTATTCTGGTGCAGAGTCTCTGTTCTAGTGTTAGTTGTGCCTACAGGGGTGTACCCAGACCTGCATCTGTCCACACTGTTCCTCTCCTCTGAACTTGACCAGCATCCACCATGCCTAGGCACTTCATTGCTACTGCCTGCTGGTGTCCAAGAATATCCATTGCTTGATCTAGATGCACCGTCACTTGGAGAGACACCGTAGTGAAAGCTCCTGGGTCGAGAAACTCTACTGTAGCCATCACTGGAAGTCCTCTGAAGACTTGGGCTTGGTCGTACTGTGCCAGTATAGGCCTCCTTATTGTCTAATGAGCTGGAGACAGAGGGTTTGACCGAGAAACTGTGAGATTTAACTCCGTCATCTTTCAGCTGGCGAATGGCAGCTCGTATCTTTCTCCTCTCTTCAAAACTGGTACAAGCATCCAACTGAAACAAGAACAGAATAATAGGACACAGAACAACAATAGGAGACAGAATAACTGTAAAATAACATGATGAAAGGACTGGATATTGGTTATCATTAAAACACATGGTTCATCATCGACCAGAAACTCTTCATATTCATATGACAGTGTCCACACTGTCATTAAGACAACAAAATAAAGCTATGTATTCTCCACCGTAAAGCATAATATCATACTGTGTATTGTAGTATTGAGCAATCCAAAATACACCAACATAGCTATATACTGTGTCAATGCCAGGCAGTTCTGGGTGTTTATGGTGGCCATACACAATATTGAAAACAGATGACATAACCTTCCATTGTTTCCATGCCATGATGAATCTCAGTCAATGACAATGGCTTGTGCCCAATTAGAACAATGTACATGTATTTTAATCTATTTATATAATACTTTTGATTTTTTCCTTTTGATTTGTGTGTGTGTGTGTGTGTGTGTGTGTGTGTGTGTGTGTGTGTGTGTGTGTGTGTGTGTGTGTGTGTGTGTGTGTGTGTGTGTGTGTGTGTGTGTTTAGTGTTTAGTGTTTAGTGTTGTTTTTTGCAGAGTATACATTCGCTATGGTATGCCAGCGCCCTACTGTGGGAAACTCTGTCAGCCCAATAGTACACAATCAACAGTTATCAACAATCACTTTAGAACCCAGCCAATCATATAATTAATGGGATCAGAAGCTAGACGTTATTCATTTCTCCTAAGAATCAACTCAAAGGGTGTGTGTAAACTTTCTTGTTCCCTGGCAGTGTTGAGTCAAAGGCTGCTGAGACCTCGGAGTAGCATGGGATTACTGACACACTGCATCAACCTCTAGGGCCTTTACACATAACTGCTTCAACACTTTATAACCATGGTCAAATCACTTCTCAAAGACTGAAGGTGATTGAGCAGCAATAGTAATCTTCTTCAAATAATGGATGACTAATGAGGATGACCAGCAGTTTGTTATTGAAACTTTGTTTTCAATCTTCAAAAGCTGCTTTTTAAATTAAGAAATGCTTCAATGGAAAGATTAGTACACAAAAATATAGAACAAACTTTTTGGACAACAACTTTTTTTTATTCTGTTGACAACGGTACAAGAATCTGTATCGAAATGTCGCACTCACGAATAAGAGAAAAAAAACCTGAGGTATTCAAGCTGGTTTTGACACCCTCTTATCCATAAAGTCTGTTCTTTATTGTACTTCTAAAAATGCCACTCAGTGAAGTTCATGAACAAGGGGACAGTGAACAGGACAACCACGGTGGAGCCACACACGGTGGCTACTTTACCACTGGATCATCTGACAGCACATCCCAGCAAAAGATCGTATTTTAGTGAGATTGGATCATAACCATATTGTGGTAAGGCGATGCAACTCTGTACAAAAGAATATTTGACTTCTTTTCCACCCATGATTCGTATATTTATCACTGGCATACAAAACATAATGTGTGCCTTTGAATCGAAATACTTCAGCACATGTTGTCTATTCAAGCAGAATAAACAAAATAAACTGAACAATATTTAATGCAATAACTTCATTGATTGTATATCCCTTCAACTGTGATTCTAACTGCTGGAGCTGGTGCTGCTGTCCAGACTTTGCTGTGGAGTGATGTGTCTCCCAAGTGGTGACCAACCACCTATGGTCTGTAGAGTGATGTCCCTTCCCTGGCCTCGCACCAACATCAGCCACTGTAGAGTGATGTCCCTACCCTGGCCTCTCACCAACATCAGCCACTGTGGAGTGATGTCCCTACCCTGGCCTCTCACCAATATCAGCCACTGTAGAGTGATGTCCCTACCCTGGCCTCTCACCAACATCAGCCACTGTAGAGTGATGTCCCTACCCTGGCCTCGCACCAACATCAGCTACTGTAGAGTGATGTCCCTACCCTGGCCTCACACCAACATCAGCCACTGTAGAGTGATGATGTCCCTACCCTGGCCTCTCACCAACATCAGCCACTGTAGAGTGATGTCCCTACCCTGGCCTCGCACCAACATCAGCTACTGTAGAGTGATGTCCCTACCCTGGCCTCTCACCAACATCAGCCACTGTAGAGTGATGTCCCTACCCTGGCCTCTCACCAATATCAGCCACTGTAGAGTGATGTCCCTACCCTGGCCTCTCACCAACATCAGCCACTGTAGAGTGATGTCCCTACCCTGGCCTCTCACCAACATCAGCCACTGTAGAGTGATGTCCCTACCCTGGCCTCTCACCAATATCAGCCACTGTAGAGTGATGTCCCTACCCTGGCCTCTCACCAACATCAGTCACTGTAGAGTGATGTCCCTACCCTGGCCTCGCACCAACATCAGCCACTGTACAGTGATGTCCCTACCCTGGCCTCGCACCAACATCAGCTACTGTAGAGTGATGTCCTTCCCCTGGCCTCACACCAACATCAGCCACTGTAGAGTGATGTCCCTACCCTGGCCTCGCACCAACATCAGCCACTGTAGAGTGATGTCCTTCCCCTGGCCTCGCACCAATATCAGCCACTGTAGAGTGATGTCCCTACCCTGGCCTCTCACCAACATCAGCCACTGTAGAGTGATGTCCCTACCCTGGCCTCTCACCAACATCAGCCACTGTAGAGTGATGTCCCTACCCTGGCCTCGCACCAACATCAGCCACTGTTGTTGCAATACAACAAAGACAGCAAACAAAACAACTTGGGAGTAGTTTACTGAATGTCCTTCCTTAAGGCAGAAAGGTCACACATATCTGTGACTTCACTGACAAAAATCTCAACTATTTGTACAATCTCTAAGTCAAGTTTGCTGAGGCTCAACTAAAGCTGGTCACTTCCTCATATCAATATTGTCCTCTAGGTGAAACACCAGACCTCTCATGCCTTATGCAGGATAAGGTACAATACATGTTAAAAAGATCATTATCATGATGATGTTTATGCAATAATACATCAAATTAAAGGTGCAATTATTGTAAACATCAAGTACAGTAGTGACAATCCCCACTGAGAATACCTAACCGTGGTACAGAGATTAACAACACAATGACTGACAGATTAGATCAGAAGGATCCATGCCTACCAGATATGTGTACATTCTGGACCATACAGAAACACTAATTATACAGGTGACACTTGATCCCACTGATAATAGATCAGATCATATCAGTGGGACATAGCCACAGGTGACACTCACCCCCAGTGGGGAACAACAGGGACCCAGATGACGCTCCCACAGACTTTCCCACTATCCTGACACACAGACTGTCCCACTATCCTGACACACAGACCCTACAACTATCCTGACAGACCTTTCTACTATCCTGACACTCAGACCGTCCCACTATCCTGACACACACACCTTCCCACTATCCTGACACACAGACCTTCCCACTACCCTGACACAGTCCTTCCCACTATTCTGACACAATCTTTCCCACTATCCTGACACACGTCCTCCCCACTATCCTGACACAGACCTTCCCACTATCCTGATAAAACAGACATTCCCACTATCCTGACAGACCTTCCCACTATACTGACACAGACCTTCCCACTATCCTGACACACAGACCTTCCCACTATCCTGACACAAGTCCTTCCCACTATCCTGACACAGACCTTCCCACTATCCTAAAAAAACAGACATTCCCACTATCCTGACAGACCTTCCCACTATCCTGACACACAGACCTTCCCACTATCCTGACACACAGTCCTTACTACTATCCTGACACTCAGACCTTCCCACTATCCTGACACACAGACATTCCCACTATCCTGACACACAGACCTTCCCATTATCCTGACACACAGACCTTCCCACTATCCTGACACACAGTCCTTCCCACTATACTATCCTGACACTTCCCAGATCCTGACACAGACCTTCCCACTATCCTGACACACAGACCTTTCCCACACAGACATTCCCTCTATCCTGACACATCCTAACACACAGACCTTCCCACTATCCCTGACACAGACCTTCCTTCCCACTATTCTGACACAATCCTGACACACACAGACCTTCCCACTATCCTGACACACGTCCTGTACACATACACAAAATGACTTTTCCACACGTCCCCCACTATCCTGACACAGACCTTCCCACTATCCTGATAAAACAGACATTCCCACTATCTTGACAGACCTTCCCACTATCCTGACACAGACCTTCCCACTATCCTGACACACAGACCTCCTACTGACACTCAGACCTATCCATTCCCTCTATCCTGACACACAGACCTTCCCATGACACACAGACCTTCCCACTATCCTGACACAGACCTTCCCACTATCCTGACACTCAGACCTTCCCACTATCCTGATCCTGAAAACAGACCTTCCCACTATCCTGACACACAGACCTTCCCACTATCCTGACACCTTCCACAGACCTTCCACTATCCTGACACATCCTGGACAAACCTTCCCACTATCCTGACACGCACAGACCTTCCACTATCCTGACACTATCCAAACCTTCCCACTATCCTGACACACAGACCTTCCCACTATCCTGACATAAACACAGACCTTCCCACTATCCTGACCTTCCCACTATCCACACAGACCTTCCCACTATCCTGACACACAGACCTTCCGACTATCCTGACACACAAACCCTTCCAACAATCCCGACACAGTCCTTCCTACTATCCTGAAACTGACCTTCCCACAATCCTGACACACAGACCTTCCCACTATCCTGACACACAAAACCTTTCCACAATCCTAACACACAGACCTTCCCACTATCCTGACACACAGTCCTACCTACTATCCTGACACTGACCTTCCCACTATCCTGACACACAAACCTTCCACACAGACCTTCCCACTATCCTGACACAACATCCATCACACCATCCTTACACACAGACATGCTAAAGAACATATATACTGATTAATTCGTAATTCCTCGAAATAAATGTACACATACACAAAATGACTTCTCGTAGTTAACAAACCATAAATCACCATGATCACTTG